TCATATTTGTAAGTGTCTAAATTAAGAAGAAATAAAAAAAGAAGACAATAAAGGAACTTTGATTTAACTATTTATATTTTCAAGTGTTGTGCTCTAACTGCTATCTATACATAATACAGCAGCAAATAGCAAAATTTTCGATTGCTGAAATTATTTAAGCGGGCAGCTAGAAAATAAAGTTGTTTTTTGTAGAATAACTTAGCACTTTTTTAAATCACTCTGACAAAGATGAGTAGCTTTTTTATTGTTATACATATTTCACTATAAATTTTAAATACATTTTTCTTACTATATGCGACAGCACGACATTAATATCCAGCGCTGCTTCCAACAGACAACAATGTAGTCACACTTCACAACATTTATAGCTATGAAACTGCAGTAACATTTAATCCTTAGTTATATTTCCAAATATTACTCAACACGAGACTACATATTAATTATTACTTGTCGACACCCGATCTCCTCTTAAGCGATTGTTTAGCAACTTTAATAGCACAGCTGCATTAGTATGCAATGCTATTGTGAGACTGGATTATAACTAGATTTTAGAGCAAGCACATCGTACACACAATTGATGGCATGTACATACTCTTCTGAATTTTTCACGGAAGATATCATTAAGGTGTAATTAAAGTGTTTATCGCTTACAAAAGGTGAATATCTCATCAAACTTGTTGAAAGAAACAATTGAGTAAACAAGCTGCTGCTTGATTTTATTGCGTCAGGAAACATATCATTTATCTAATAACAAGCTTGATTGACTTGAAGACTGCTGTAACCAAGAAGAAATTTTACGCTTATTTTCCTCCTACTAGAGCATTATTTAAGAGATCAGAATTTGATCTCTTGATAGACTGTTAATCCGTACACAAAGAAAGCTCCCGTTGGTCAGATAATAATATATTAGTTTGTGGAGTCAGAAAACCGCTTAGCAAACTATATGTAGGCATAGCATGTGCAAAGGAAAACAGGCTAGATCGACGTGAACAAAATAAATACGCGAAAAGTTTAAATTTCGGCTTGATTCCGAGAGTAACTTCACTAGTTTACTGATCAATCGATACCTTCATCTTGTAGAGTGCAAGGAAACAGCTATATGTATCCATAGACGAGTTTAAACATTATATTGATACATTCTATATTTAGTCCCAGCTAAAATTGATTAACAAAAAACTAGGAATTTTTTAATTAATCAACTACACGTAATAATTCAGAGGATATCACTGATGCAACATTCCAGTTAAATTAGGCCGCCTGCTTCAACAGACGAAGCAAATTAGCATAGAACTGTTTATTAATTGACTGCGGCTCTCTCTATGTTGAAACCTCAATAGTAACTAAACTGTAACGGTTTGTTTTTTAATCATGATTTCATTGCTGGTTTTGTCTGCATAGAAAATGTTATTTCCATACTCATTTGGAGCTGTTGTTTCAGCACATAAAAATTGTCTTTTCACTGCTCCTATCACTGGGTTATGTGCGAGTACAATAACTTAAAAAAGTGCACAATTATTTTATCATTGTAAAAGGACAGATGACAATATTTCTCTGATGTCATGAGTTTGTAACAGATGTACACTAAATGTAAGGTATGTGTTTGTTCGAGTAATGACGCAAGTGCATTAATGGGCCTGCAACTGCAATGCAATAGATCTAAATGAGGCCTACATCTGCGTACTATGGCAAGCCGTACAACTCTAACGGAATTAGGGATGTTTGTTGGTAATGTCCAAGCGCGCATATACATAGTAAATTAGTAAGGGAATATTTGCAAAAATTATGGTGGTGCACGAAGCATAACAACAAAAATTGTATTTGTTGAAAATAAAATAAATAAATTTTTCCTTTTGAAGAATGTTTACTTTAAAATCACTTTTTAGTTAATTAAACAAAATAAAAAGGAAACAAACATATGCCAGACAAGAAAAACGAAATTAATACAAGCACTGCGGGGGCTTAAAGATAAAAAAGAAACGGATAAAAAAAATATAAAAATGAACCTTTGTGGATAATAATAATGGACGGTTTTATATTTCACTCTACAAAGTCACACTTGACTCAATAGCGTTTTATGTACTTTTCCTAATCTCTGTATCGAACGTCATTTGGTGCAATAAAAAACAATCAATTTTTTTTCGATTTTTTCAAAATTTTAGTCTGAATCCCATATTCGGGGCAATTATTATTCGTAAATTACTCTCGGTCGTAACCTCTTATGTTTAGTAACATTGGAAAACACTTTTGATGACCATCTTTAAAAAAAGGTCCTCGTCTTTCGGAAATTTAATACAAGTTAAGGAAAGCTTAAAACTTGTTGTAATGGCTTTTGCACACATACTCATTGCTATAAATTATTTTTTTTGGCAAAATATTGTTATTTTACAACTATATGTTATAAATACACGCTCATATTCTAGACTGTTAAGAGAGTATCGAACGTCATTTGGTGCGATAAAAAAAAACAATTTTTTTCGATTTTTTCAAAATTTTAGTCTGAATCCCATATTCGAGCCAATTATTATTCCTTAATTACTCTCGGTCGTAACCTCTTATGTTTAGTAACATGGGAAAACACACGCTCATATTCTTCATACATACAGGCTGGTTCTTAAATAGACCGACAAAATTATATCACAGCTCCTCAAGAATAAATGAAAACAAACTGTACCCTTTTTACGTTTATATTTTTTAGGGGCAAAACCCCTTGATCCGTGCCACTTACGGCGTTTATGAATTGTTGCATTCATCAAGTACATTTTCACCATGGTTTCCACTACCTATTTACGAACACATCAGTGGCGTACGCTTTACCTCGAAAATAACTTAAATAATTTTTTTTGGAGAACGGTTAAACAAAGAATTTTTTAATTATTATTTCCAGCATGTTCTCATTTGAAACTACCAAGAGTAAAATTGTGTCGGTCTATTTAAGAATCACCCTATATATTAGTCTAAATAAAACTTTGTGAAAAATAAAAAACTCATCTAAACAAAATGTGGAAATACAGAGAGAATCAAAGAAGACCGTATCTATGTATTTTTACTTAGGACATGTATTGTTAAAAACGCAAAAACATATTTCAAAATATTTTGTCGACTACGAGACGAGACGCGACGCGACGCGACGCCGGGAGAAAGTCTCTATTGTGTATTTCCTGGTGACAAAGTTGATGTTTCATGTGAATTTTATTAGATTAGATATAATATAAACATTAAGATTAATTATAATTATAAACACAATTAATAATAATTAATAGTGTATGTACATTTTATTATTTGATAAAAGCTAAAAAATATGGAATTGTCTCTGGGGTAAATCAATGAAAAATACACGCTTTGAATTTTAGTTGATATTATAACAGTCTGATAATGAAAAGTAAATATAACAAAATGGATGAATCCTGAACACGAATCAATAGCATAAATGTATGATCAAGTTTTATAGAGACCGTTGACCTGTTTTTATTAGTTTATAAAACGAAAAAAATTATGTATTTTTCTTGTCGTTTGTAACGAATAGTGACCTAATTACAGATCTAAAATTACGTCGCAGAAGCAATAAATTATTTTATTGGTTAAGTTGGTTCCGTCGGAGGTGAGGAATGAATTCTCTGACCTCAACAGTAAGATCGGATGTCCTGTCAGAGTTTCTATTCCGAACCGAACTTTTAACAAAGTCCGGCAGAACGGATTAAAATAGATAATGTAATTTACCAGAATCGACAAACTGCGGCTTCTCTCATCCATTTCATTCGCTCCTTTGTAAGTGACCCAATAGCATTCAAAACGATATTCCTAGCTTACTTTTTAATTACAATTTTTTACAAAGCGAAAAAACAACAGGAAAGTTCAATGCAGTTTAACATCTTTTTGATTTCAATGTTAGTTTTATGAAATAATTGTCAGTCTTTTGTTTCCTTTCAAAATTAAAAAGCTGTGTCTCTTGAAAAGAATTTTGTTTGTTTGATGCAACTACTATACAACTCAACAAAATATTAGGTTTGTAAAATTTCGATAATAGAAAAATAGAAACAGTATTCTTCAACGCCGCATCATTGAAGTGCTTAGTATATTGATACAATAGGTACGAGATCTTTTTATTACGTTTTATCTAATTAACTTCTTAAACATGTCTGTCTCCTAACAACACGGTCTCTTTTTAATTGTTTGATAATTGTTTAAATTTCCAAGGGACCAACGTACTTTTTGTTTTAGGGAAGCTAATAATGCTATTTCCCTGTTAAAATTATGTACCCGTATGTGGGTTTATTGTGTTTGTGTCGTTTAGTGAACAAGTTGGTTCATCAGTGGTCCTGTCATTAATTCTCGCTTTCACTGTACGAATACAAAGCATAATTATTATGATTAAGACTCGAATATATGCACGAAAAATTTGTAAATATTAAGATATTAAGAAATATGGTCCAATATATGCCAAATATGCATTGATATCCAAAACTTTTAACTTATATTAAGTATTATTTTCTAGAGGCACATGATATAAAAAAAAACGCTTGGTTTCATATTCACCCTGTATAAACCGAATTCAAAAAGGAAACTTTTAGCAGGATACTAATTCTTTGAATCCGGCTTACGAATTACCGGTTGTTTTCTCTTTAACATAATTATTTTGTAAATTTTTTTCTTAAACTGTTTCATTTTTAACATGAACTGAAATTTTTAATCAGAAATTTGTGATTTGAAGAAAATTTGTACAAATATGCAATATTTCCTAAAATATGCACGAAGTTGACAAAATATGCATTTTTTAATTGGCCTATTTTAATCAAAAACATTAGATATGCCTAGAAAACTTATAATTTTGTTGATATATCTCTTAATAACAAATATGCCTTTTGCATATAATCCGAGCCTTAATTATGATTAAAATGAGTTGGTACCCTTGAGGAGTTTATTTTGTTAAATATACAGAGTTGAAGTAGAAATGGAAAAATTAGGGTTGAAGATAAGTATATTGATAGATCTGTTGCTTGCAGGTGCCGGTGATGCTAAAGTGAACGTCGCTAAATGTATATGCAGATGCTGTTCGTCTTTGCCTTTATTTTGGGTAAGTGCTTCCCTAATCTAATTCTTTTCTTACTTGATATGTATACGGATATTGAGTGATTTTGTTCAGCAAATTGGATATCAGAATGTTTTAAAAGCGGCTTTAATTTCTCGATTGAATGCATAAGAGATGATGACGTTATTGGCAGGAAGGCATAAGCGGTGGCAAACGGAGACCACACGGCACGTCTAATATTGATGATGAGCCAACAGTAGAAACCATGAATAAAATATTGGCTGTCGACTGTTTGCTCTCTGCGCAATGTTCTTCTAGATAAAGAGAACCGACTGAAACTTTTGCAGACTCATCCTTTGCTTCACTTAAATTGGATACCGAACAGCCACCGCGTGGAAATGTGCCGAATCTAAATGCACATTTATAACGTGTTGATTGGAGCACAAAAGAAGACCACCTCCACTCTATCTCCTATTCTCTGTCTGCCTTCTAGTGACCTTTCATTTCAACACAATCACACTTATCCATTACCTTTGTTAATCGACCTTGTGTCTTATTATTGGGTCATTATATGCGTTTATGTATGTACCGACAAACTCACTGTCTATAGCTCTCTAACTCATCAGTCACTAATTTGCATGTGGTAATCCGGTTAGGTTATGCCTGTGTTACGAAGCGAGAGAGGCTACGCTGGATTAAACATGTTAATATGAAATTTACACGTCGATATGGCAATTGCAACCCATAATGGACTGACTCAGTTTCCATATCCTACAGGATGAATATATTTAATTCCATTTACATATCGAAATCAGATCACGTGCATTTAAGATATCCTTTAAGACTAAGTACACAAGAATTAATAAAAGCACTGTAAGACATAATACGTAATTCGTACATAATACGAATAAATTTCGTTGATTACATCGAAAAATATTTTGCAAATATTTACAAACCCGTTTGTACATTCATCATTTCATTACTAACAGTTTTATGACCGAGCTTAATGTTTCATAATTTTTATGATTTTAAAATCACAAACCTTATAACTGGCATAAAAATCAATAACTACTCGTATTACGTTTCCATTATCCAAACAGGAATCCCAAAATCCCAAAAGCTTTGTACAATTAACAGTTTAGAGCTGATGCAATGCTTAATTTTTAAATAATTTTAATGTGTCAATTCAATGTACTTATTTGATTATTACTTTATATTTAGATAACTTTCAATAGAATGCATTTTCATTGTCTACTCATACTGTTTTATTATTATTGTACAAAAGTCAGTGATTTCCTAATTTTAAATAATAATATTAATCAAGTATGATTTGATCTAAATTTCTATTCAATAACTAAACTTTTAGCTATTAATTTACTGTACGCGTAATTAGTGTGTAACATTTAACAGTATATTAAAAAACAAGTTTTATAAGACTAGTCTTGAAGCACGCATACAAGTTTTTAAAAAAATGAGTGCCCTCTTTATGCCGTTTTTAAGCAAAAATTTTTACTTCAATTGATTTAGGGATTGTTGTGACGTTCGGTAATGTTTTCATTTTAAAAGTCAAAATTTGATCTAGTCGCCTTTTGATTGTTGATTATTAGAGAATCAAAATGGAGACAAATTACAAAAAAATCGTTTATTGTATGTAAATGTGGTATATACACTGCCCGCCAAAATTAACCGAACAACTGAAATTTTACGGTTTTTCACATTGCAATATGTATTTTTGTTATTCTTTGTCGGATTTTGATGAATTTTGGTTCGGCTTAAAGAACGAACTTTGCAAAAAAATGTGTTTTTTAATTCAATAACATTTCTAGTTTTGTCTTGTACATGTTATACTCGTACCTAAAAGACGAAACCACTGTTTTCTTACGGTTTTTTATAGTGAGCTGCGGTGTGCGGCAGAGACAAACTTAAGTTTTTTCTGACTTCAGATTATTGCCCATTCTTTTCTCAATTATATACCACATTTTCCATAATTTAAGTTCTTGAGACATGAGAGATATAAACCTTCAAAAAAAGCATTACATTTCCGATTTCAATGAATGTTTGTATTAAGTAGGCCGAATGTGCCAAAACGTCAAAATAGGCGCATGGAAGCTTCCAATAATTCACCGTTTTACTTGGTGTAATCCCTTGAAGTTCCAAGTTTTTCAAATTTTTGGTGTTGAAAGACGTAATTGTGCTCTTTTGGTGACATAAGCAATGATTTTCGGTTTAACTACCTTTTATGTAGCCTACTTTCTGAACGAATATTTAGTAACTTTAGAAAAGCAACATCTTTTCAATGCTTTGTATCTTTGGAGCACCAGAAGATAAAATTTTGGAACAAATTGGTCCTCATTCAGAAAAGAATAGGCAATAATCTGAAATCAGAAAAAACTTGTCTGTGCCACACACCACAACTCAGTATAAAAAATAGTGCTTTCGTCTTTTTAGAAATGCTATTGAATTAAATTACAATATTCTGCAAAGTTCGTTCTTTAAGCCGAACCAAAATTCATCAATATCCGACAAATAATAACAAAAATATTGCAATGTAGAAAACCGCAAAATTTTAGTTCTCCGGTTAATTTCGACGGGGAGTGTAGTTTCTCAAATTTCTACCTTTACTTGTTTAGAGGATACAGGCTCATTTCTTGTAAGTATCTTTAAGAGTCAAATTATACATTTTGGAAAACATTTAGCTGATACATTATTGTCTAATATTTAAAATGCTCTCCATTTTTCTTTTCAAAAAGATTAGAGTCTAAAGTCTAGAGCCTAGCCACGCTAACCTGACAACAATAAATGCGTTCTCTATGCTCTAGAGAACATGCCACTTTGTATAAGTGCTAGTCTCAATGCCGGTAATAATTTTACGTAAAAATTAACAATGATTTTTGTACGTTGAGTTTTCCAGTTCAATAAATGGAATACAGAACGTATTTTCAAGTACAAAACGACTGACCTTTGTTTTGACTACACGGATAAGAAGTAGAGAATCTTTTTTTTTGTTTTATTTTATTTTATTTTATTTGTTGCGTGAGTGGCATTGATGCAAGCAACATCATAACGAATGGTATTCGATCAGCAATACATACAAATAAACTAAAATGGTTGCTTCAATAGATTGCTTTCAGAGTACTGATAGCAGAAGTTATTTATCACACAGAGTCGAAGGCCTGCAAAGTATAGGTACATTTTGCATTCGGAAATATTTTTAATCCATTTTAATAAATCGCCGACTCAAAAGGTATTTCAACTCTTATATTCTCATCTTCTTTGAGAAGTGTACGCGAAATGTTGGCGTCATATTATTATTTATTTTTGCCTACAAGTTGTTTACTTTGTCTTTTGTGACCGAAGTGGAGCATTATTTATGTTGACGTCTCATCTTTAATACCATAGATTAGGTGGCCAGAGTGGCAACTGGCAACCGCACATTATAAAATGTTAGGTAGGAAGTATGACGCTAGACAATTTCATGAGCTAACAGGGGTGGGGTGGTTGTGTTGCCTTGAACGTAACATGGCGATAACATGATCCACTCCCCTAATTGCTATCGCCGTCGGGTTTAATATCTCGCACTACCCTCTTCTCTTTCGACAAATACTAGCCGCAACTTATTCTTTCTAATTACGATTTGCCTGACTAACTATCTACTAGAAAATCGACTTATATCAGATTTATTCATTTGTAAATTATTTTTTGCATATGCAAATTAATGCAAATGCCCATATTTACTAGGACATTTATTTTTGCCTGAACGTATTTTGTGACATAAATATTTGAGTATCTTGTCAGACTGTATGTCATCGTGTAGACTTTACTTTAAGTTTAGAAAGTTCTCCAAGCGATTTGTGAACAAAACTTTAAGGATTGGAAAAATCAACTTGAGAAGAAAAAAATCCACTTTACATATCATATATTATGTTAAAAATAAATTCTTTAACATAAATAACATTTATTGAAATAACCAATCGTGCAAAATCTTCTATGCAACACGTACAAAAATAGTTGTAGAGCACTCCTCTCGTTAAAGACTCGGTTCCCTCGTCCTCTCGACTCGTAAAACTCTGTTTTACGAACTTGATACATAAATCGCTATTAAAGGATTTATTTTTTACCAAAACTTAGATTACACATGCATTAAAACGACTGTGAAACGTACTTTTTGTTACTGTTTTTTGTGAACATCATTATAATGAAGATTTCAACGAGCACTACTACAACAACTACTACTAAGATACCTAAAGCAAATAAGGCCCAAGGTTTGGATTTATTATCGAAATTGTAATTTGAACTTTTGCTTAACAATGTGTTCCACAAAAATGCCTGCAAAAGGTAGCATTCTCTTCCTTGAAAATTCTTTTGCAATCTTCTCCACGCCAATTTTTTCTCGATAACAAATTGTAATTATCTCTAAACCAAACTTTATCCAATGAGGTGCTTTCAGAAAATGAGTTAATTAGGACGAAGTGTTACTTAAATAATTATTAAATAACAACTAAATGCAAATGTCATTCACAACGTCACAACTTCAATTTAAGTTTCTTGATATATTATCAACGTGTAAAACACGTTAAAACCACAAGTAAAAACTTTTGCTTTCCTGAAAGGAGAAATTCTTGTGACTCTAAAGGTTTTATTTATTTTTGTCACTATACTTTAAGAATACAGAAACTTATTTAAAAATGATCGTGTTGAAAAAATTATTATTTATGTCATTTCTGCATGGTTAATTTATAGAAGGCTATTTTAAAATTATTCATTTGCTTTTTCTCTTTTGCCAAGTTGACTTTTATCTTCATAATCTTTCTTTAAAAGAGAAATTGTTTACTTTTCTACACAGACTAAAAAGTTTTAAATTAAAATTTAAGAGTTTTAATTAATTTGAAATATGTATTACAAAAAAATGATATTTAAGCAAAACTAAAAGCTAAATAAAATTAGTTAGGCCTAAACAAATATAATACGTTGACAAGAAAACAAATAAACATGTTTAGAAAAATACAAAATCAGTAAAATTATTAAAATTTAAACTTACTGTGATA